AAGATAAAACGCTGTGAAGTTTTGGATGACACTTTTCGTTTTGCTTATGGTTCCATTTAAATACTGTGGAGCATCGAAGCCAGGGTAAAATGGTGATGGTACGGGCATGGCTCTGGGAAGCGCCGTTCTTCAGCCCGGCAAGAAGTCGAGGGCTGAGTACTTGCTTGAAGCTTGCTTCCTTCTGCCCTCGCTGTGGTGGGGAGATGATTGCCAAGGTGCTTGAATACGTGGTCTTTTCAGAGAGCTGAAAGAGGAACAGGCAGCGTGTGTTCCGCAGCATCGAGTGGGAAAGCTTGTCCTGTAGCGGCAATGGATAATGCTTTAGTCTTGCATGTTTTGCCCTTAAAAAATAATAATGAAAAAGGAAATTACTGTATTATCCTGCACTTAAGAGTCTTGAGCATGAACTGTGACTTCGCTGTCCTGGGTGCAAACATGGCATTTGCAAACATAAAATAGTGACAGCGTTTCACTGGTGAGATAAGGAGCCGTGTTAGAGGTCTCAGAAGAACGCTATGGACTTTGAAGGGTAGGATAAGGGGTAGGAAGAAGAGAGTAAATGCCTTTTATTTTGAATCTCTTTTTCTCTTCCTGTTTCTGGAATTAACTTTTTCTTGTTCTAAACCACACCCAAATAATATTTCAGAGCTGAAGTTACAGAGTGGAGTAATGTTAGAGAAAATAAGTCAGTCAGTGGGTGTGGGTTGGCGAAAGACGAAGCAAGCGCTTCTAGAATAATTGAGTATTTTATTACAGCCCAAGTCACCCAGTGGCTTCAAGTATGTGATGTTTCAGTTCTTTGCAGTGTTAAAATGACAAAGCTGTCCTGATTTTTGACCCAAGGTTCATAGCACTTGGGATGCTGTCTGCCAGCCGGAATGTCTGATAGCTACAAAGTGTTTGTACTGTCTGTTTTCAGACAGGTGCTAGTCAAGCTTTTTTAAATCTGAAATATCTTTATCTCTATATCTATATAAAGATACATAAATATTTTTAGTTTTAAAACAAATGTTGACTCACCAGGCTGCACAATTGCCATTTGAAAAAAATCCTTTAACTATACTACAGAAAAGGATGTTATGATGTGATTTTGGAAGTTCACTCAAAGCTATGGTTATGACTTCAAGTTAATTAAATGATTCATGACCCTTTTTATAGAGTAAGAGTGTTTACCTTAATAGCAGCATGTCAAATTGCATTTGATTATTTTGTTACCTCAACTGAGCATTACATTTATCTCCTGTATTACTATAAGCAGTGACTGGAGATAGGAGCTAATGTTTTGATTGAGGCTTATTTCGTTAAATCCCCTGAAGTGAAAGATACAGCTTTTCATGTCAGCTTAAGCATGGAGAACTCCTGGGATCTTTTTTGGTGAAAGAGGTGCGGGACTTTATTTTAAACTTGGAATTAAACTCAGTGGTACTGCTTTTCTGTCTCTCAAAAATTAAAAGACTTGGGTATCTGCATCTGATAAAAGTTGAATGGTTTCAGATTACCATCTGTTACCGGGCATCCGTGTTACTTTCTTGTTGTATCTACCTGTCAACTGTGCAGCAGTGTAAGGCGTTGCTTTTACAAAAGAAATGTCTTTTCCCTTTCTATGAGTTGGCCAGAGTTTTCAAAAGGGGTGCTATTTTTCTAACAGATCTGGACTGCCTGCCTTGTTGAGATGGCTTCCTCCCATGGTGGAGCACGTACTGTATCTGTCCTCAGAGCTGAAGGTGTTGAGATAAGCTTGACCAAGTCCTTCTAGACTTATATGTAGAAAGTAACCAAACAAAGCACGTTTCCTTTAAACTCACCCTTCCAAGTACAGATTTAAGATGAGTTCCCTTTTTTTTTTTTTTTTCCCCCCACTATTAGGGGAGGCTGGATTGTAAAGATAGTATATGGGAAGGAAAGGAAGGAAAACATGCTCATGTTTTATGTTTCCAGGAGGGTAGCATTTAGCCTCCTAATGTTGCTCTTTCAAGTTTTCTAAACAAGAAATTCAGAGGTCCTTAATACTCATGCTGGTGTTGGCCCTGAGTTGCTTCATATATTATGGCTCTATATAAGCGGTCTTAACTTCTCAGTATACTTTTAAAACAAACATCAAGAGACACATACCCTTAAAAACGGAAGCGATTTACACACCCTAGGTATGTGTGTATACAGAATAAGCGGAATATTTTTGGTTTCCTGATTTGCTAGAAGATTAATAAGCATAGCAATATATATGTAACTGTTGTTTGGACAGTATGGCAATCACATGAAGTTTACTTATTTGAGCTGAAATTGAGTAATCGGGTAACCTTGAAATGATGAAGCAAGAGAAATTAAAGCAATGTCAGTTCAGCTTCTGGGACCGAAGCTAGACCAAGTTAAAGGGAGGAGAAGAATAATATTATTATCATATAATAATATTACTACTACTACTACTATCCTCTTGCAACTCCAAAGTTCATTTTCAAAAGCAGTAAAGAATGTGTAGCAGTTAGCAAAAAGTTGTATATATTGAGTCTGGAGTTCTCTGATGAGCAAGATGCCAAAATGCTGCCTCTGTCCTACTTGAACTGTACAGAGAAGAATGTGCTTCACATAAAAACTATGGGTCACCAAGACAAGTTAGGGACAGCATTTTCAATAGCATCATATTGTTAAGGATTAGCTGGTTACTGTGAATTAGTTTGATAGTTTCCATCATCATTTATCTGTATTTAGGAATTGCTAATGGATTTCTATCTATTTATTTAAATAAAACTACAAGGCTGGTATAACTTTTTTTTTTCCCCTCTCCCTTGTTCCCAGAGTTGGTTCCTTCGATTATGAGTAACATGCTGAATCCGGATGCTATTTTTTCAAACAATGAAATGAGCCTGTCAGACATTGAAATTTATGGTTTTGATTACGACTACACATTGGTCTTTTATTCTAAACATCTGCACACGCTGATCTTCAATGCTGCTCGAGATCTTCTTATTAATGAGCATCGGGTAAGTAAAATTAATGGAATAACGATAAACTTATGAATAAAGAGTATATTAAATAATATCTGAGAGAGGCATAACTCACCTTTTCACGCCTCAGTCCTAGCTTGGCTCCCTTATAGTACATTTTGTACAACAGCTACATATGAACCACAGCAGCCTTGGTTTGTTCTCAGCTGCAGTTTTGAGCAGAGTGCAGTCTGACAACTGTTAAGGAATAGAGGGTTTTTTTATGTGGTGGTGTGGTTTTTCCACTGTTAAGGAATAGAGTTTTATTTGTTTTGTTTTTTGATGTGGTGGTGTGGGGTTTTTTTTGTTTTTTCACTGTTAAGGAATAGTTTTATTTGTTTTATTTTTTTGATGTGGTGGTAGGGGTGTGGGTTGTTTTTGTTTTTTCCTGATTGTCCATTATTGGAGTCCTAATAAATAGGAAACTTCTAGTTACCGTCACTCTGTTTTATGCGTTGCCGTGAGTGCAGTGATTAATTTCCATATGAAATATTTTTAGGCTGACCTCGTAGGAGGTCTTTGACTGCACTGTGTGCTCGCGGGGTGCTCTGTATGCGCCCGGCGTTTCAGCTGAGTTAGCTGAAGGGGCAGTGACGCTGTAATCGGAGGCTGGATGCAAGAGACACCCAAGTAGGTGTTCAGCTCAGTGGTCTCCTAAAAGGGAGCACTGCCCTGTTGTCTCACCACGTAGCGTGTTTGCATTGGTGACCAGTTGACATCCAAGCAGCCTGGGAGCTGGTCGTTGGCATAGTTTGGGGATGGGAGAAGTTACTGTGTGTCAGGAAGCAGGAGGTGGATGGGTGACTTGGCAAACTGCGGGTATTGCAGGGAAGAAGGTCAAAGAAGACGTGGACTGAAAGAGGCAAGTTTATTGAACTGTAGGACTTGCAGGAAAATAAAAGACAAAGAATCCACACAGTAACTTGATTAATAAAACAGCTTGTGTATTTTAGACAACCTAAATCTGAATGGGTGATGTTATTCTACTTTCGTATTTGAATCTAAAGGTTAGGAGCTATATATAAACATCTATAAATATCCTTGGAAGAACAAACAAAATTTCATGGGCACTACAAGCGTACACAACTTGATCCCCCTAAGATTTTGGCATGTCTTGGTAGCAATTTCTGTAGGATGTGTAAATACACTTTACTAAAGCTACATGGTTCTTGCAAAAAACAGTGTTACTATAGAAGTCAAGATTAATTCTTGTAGATAAAAATTCAAATGGGGCTCTGTATTTACAAATGAATTCAGGTAGTTAAAACTTTCCAGTTTGTCTCTATCAAAATCTCTTGAGTTCTAGTAAATGAAGCTTTAATTACTTTTTGAGACCACTTATTGAAATATGTCATCTCCTGTTGGAATTTATTGAGGGACAGCAGTTTTTATTAATTCTGTCTCTGTAGCTGCTTATACTGTTGATGTTTTTCTTGCTTTTAACATTAGAAAAAATTTCTAGATAGCAATGTCCATTATGACTGTCACAGTCAACCCAAAAAGATGGCCAATTTTGATTATGACAGCGTGAGGTAAGTAATCAGAAATTGCAAAATGCAGTGTAGGAAGTAAGGAATTTTGAAGTGTGTCCAAGAGAATAAACATCAATTTAATGCTAATCTCAGAAGTGGCAGGAGGTGTTGAATGTAAACTCTTGCTCGTTTTTTTTTCTATCCTAATGTACAGGCCTCGTGCCATCTTATCTGGATTACTGTTTCAGTCCAGATATGTGTATCCCTACCAAGAGTAGGGTAAGCAAACAGTGCAATATTTTTTTTTTTTTTTTTTTTTTTTTGCCTGTAAGGAAGCTTCGATTTGTGTGCCAAGGTAGGCTCAGTCTTTTTCTCATATGTGCTGGCATGCATACAAAAACACAGCCTTCTAGTAGAATAAATTAAAGTAGAAAAGTTAAGTGTGCAGAAATTTGAAAAACTCAGAAACAAATTTCCTTGTTTGTGCTTTATGTGACTGCTTTGGGGCATGTGCAGTACATGGTAGTTTTAATTGATCACTTTCTTTATCTTCCCCTGATGTTTACCCTTGTCTCTTCTGCTTCATGTTCTCTGGCCAAATCTACACATCTTCCCTGTCTGTAGGCTATTGATGCTGTTCTTTATTCACATCAGTAGCCTCCCCTTTGTTTGCTGAAAGTGGTATTAGGGATGATAGTTCAGAAGTTAGGAGAAAGGACTACTTTCTTTAACTGTCCATGTCTCTGCTCAGTACAAGCACAATCTACAGCAGTTGCAGAGCAAGTCCTCTTCAGCGTAAATAACTTTGTGGAGAAATTGCTATTTATTTATTTTTTTGTAAAAGTAGCTAGAGCCTCTGTTGAAGCCATATAATCTTTTTTTTTTTTTCCCTGAAGGCTTGTAAATTAGCCATATATATATGGAGACTGTTGTAGAGAAGGTGGAAAATGTGCCTGAGAAACATTTGTCGAGTTCTAAGACTGCTGTAGCCTGTGGGAGGGAAATGAAGGATTACTTTTCAGTTGGTTAATCAAAGAACTCATAGTTTTCTCAGGCCTTGTCAGAAATGACTGAAGCCTTTTACCTTTTAAAAAGAAATGAACAGAACTTTTAGCCCAAGGCACACACCTAACATTTTTTTTTCATGGCTAACCTGTGCTTAAAGCAGGACAAAATGACAATTGACCGAAAATGGGCTTGTCCTGAAAAAGGTTAGAAAACTCTCTAATGGGTGGTGTGAGCTGCCCGTGCTATCTGTAGAGGACCTGAGGAAAGATAATATGACACAGATATTCAAGTGCATCACTGAAAAACGCGGTGTTACAAGTGCTGTATGGGGTAAATACAAGTGGGCCACTGTGGTGTTCTCCTGAAGTGACTCGCCCTGACGGCATTTAATGCCTGACTTGCTTTTGGGATCTGATCATTGTGACACACTGTACCTTGAGGAAAGTCCCCATTAGGGAAGCCTGGCTTCTCCTGGTAACATTAGCCGTTGTGAATTTTCTTCTTCATTTGTCCCCATCTGTGTTTATTTGCAGTGCACCGTATCTTTAAACACCTCTGGGGGCTGCGTTTCAGGAGTATGATTCACACTGAGGGGATCAAACAGATAGCTGTGCTGCTTTTGTTTCTTGAAAATGCCAATTTTTTTTTTTTTTTTTTTTTCTCCTGTTAATATTGATGATGTATTGCTTTTTCTTTCAATAGAAGTGAGCAGTAAAGTTCAGGTATCTTTGTAAATTAGGGCACGTTCTTGGGTTTCTAGCTAGAAGGTTGTGTTGGGAACTCTGTGCTGCTTCATGGGGAGACTTCACAATGCAAGTTAATGCAGCTATTAAATTTTAGGAAGTTAAAAAAATGTAGTTTGTTTTCAAAGGTTCATATATTAAAATAACCTTTTGAACAAGAGGCTAATGTTCAAAGTTGATCACTACAGAGTACCTGGATGTCCGCTTTAGGTACTGTGCTTGACTTAGATTTAAAACATTGACCTTAGATTTCGGAAAAATGTTTGACTTGTCTTGCACCGTACATACGTTCTTGCAAATCTCACCAACTTATCAAAAAACCTTTTGATGACTAGTGAAAATGAGAAGCATAGAAAACATAGGCTTTTAAAATTCTTCAGAAACAATTTTTTATTTGTTTTTGTTACAGATTTAAAATAAAATCATTGTTCTCTTTTTCTTAGTATCCTGCAGAGATAAGAAAATATGATTATGATCCAAATTTTGCAATCAGAGGACTTCATTATGATGTACACCGGGTATGTATAAATAACTTTGCGATGAGTTATGTAGTGCTGAGAACCTGGCCAAAGAAAATAAATAGTCCTTTTAAGTTTTCCAACTTTTTACTCTGCGTTGATGTGTAAGGATTTTATTTCATACTTTTCCCTTTCATAGCAAGCTTGATTTGTTTTAATTATTATTTTTTAAAATAGCTCTTAAGTAGAAGATATTTTGGGTGTTTTGTTCTCATGGTGGATGCGAGTGAGGGAAGACAACTTAAGAGTGCAACAGAATAAACCTAAGCAGTCATCTGCTAGTAGGAAAAGTTATTTCTTCGTGACTTAGCTTAGGTCACCGGGCAGTGTTTCCTTGGTGATTTAGCAAGCCCTAGGTAAAAGCTGTTGATAAAAGTATTTTGGAATCTTTGAAGGAAATGGAAGTGAAGGTGCTCAGGTGTTCTTGAGACAGAAAGATTATAGGTAAAATTGTTTTGATTTTTATAATTTCATGTCAAATTGTTAACGTGATAAAAACTGGTAATTTTTTTTTTTTCCCCTGCAAGGCATTGTTAATGAAGATTGATGCTTTTCATTATATTCAGCTGGGAACAGTTTACAGGTGGGTGAAGTTATTTCCTATTTATAATAAAAATGTATACTCTTATTTTTTGAACCTCTTAGTTGCGTTCACTAGTATATGTCTAGGTTCGTATCAGGAACAGTGCCCTGAAAAGCCCAGACGTGAATGAACGTTGCAGTCTCACTGGAAGGGGGTTCCTTTGCAGCTCTGTGTACACACAGACGCGCACATGTGTAGTGGCTGATATACTATAGCTGATTCCCCAGTTCAGAGCTGGTGAAGTTGGCAAGCTGACTGGTCACATAGTGCTGACTCGCCTTGTTTCCGGCTGTTAAATTGTGCTGAAAGATGTCTAAAAATACCCTGATGACTTCTCTGCTGTTGTTTTCTGTGTAAATAATTGGCACAGAGTGCCTGTTAGCATGACTTTGGTGTGGTTGTGGAGACACTTGAGAGGTCTTGCTGCGTTTGCACAGAGCTTTTAAATTTGGGCACATCAATCACATCATACTTGCAGAATGGGGCAGAACTGCTTTGTGTCTGCACAGCATGACGCTTTCTGAGTTTACTGAACTGATGTAAAATTGTGCTGTGCCTCGTTAACGTGATATAGACATACTGTATGTGATCTTTGACAGGAGAGTTCTTAGTGTGACTCAGTTTGCCGTAGAGAAGCAGTACGCCTTTGACTAACATGAACACCGTGCTTGAAACCAGGTTTTAAATTAAACAGGAAGCCCGAGCACCTTTCTTGATGTCATTGGACAAAAACTTCTTCCAGGGCCAAAAGATAATGCAACCTTCAAGTGATTTACTATGGGGAACTGTATATGGTAGCATGAAATTACAATACTGTGCTTGTTACTTCTTTTTGTTTGCCAGTCGGGCAGATAGATAGATGATTCAGCCGTAGTCGTTGATTTGTTCTTTTATGACTTAGTCCGAGATGCCCTTTGGGAGAGTGGAGAGGAACGGAAGGAAAGAGGAAATAAGATGGCATGGTCCAGCTTTAGGCTCATGCTGTCAACGTAGTAGCTATCTAAAGTTGCCAAAGCAATGTGCTCTGTGTATATCATCAGAGTCTGACTGAAACTTTATACCATTTATTTGTATGTTTTATACGTGCTGATGTAATTATTGTGTGTTTCAACTGACAAAACCTGTTCCCGTGGTTTTCGAAAGAATCATTTATGCAGGGGTAGGAGGCAACCAGAGAACTCGGTGTGAAGATCACTGATTGTAAGATTGTGAAGATAACTGATTGTAAGATTAATTTAAAAAAAACTGTCATGTTTTTACATTTTTCACTGTGAAAAATGCAAGTTTGCTAGATGAAAGGTTGGGTGGAATAATCAAAGCTATGTTTATCTGTAGAGGTACGTAGTAGAAATGTTAAGATTGGTATGAATGGAAACATGTATGTGTGAGAGCACCAGAAGGAAGGTTGATAGAAGGGACAAGAGGATGGCATGTGTTGATGGTGCCCTAATCAGTTGGTAATCAAGATAGCATCACATCTGCATGTTATTTCTCCAAACACCTGTATGGGCGGAGCAAAAAAGAGACTGAAGGCTTTGAGAGGTGATGTCAGGAAGAAGAATGGTATGACTGGAACTATATAGTGACCTAGATGAGGAGGTAAACAGGTAGTGAGTCCATCAGCAGTGTTGCCTTATCGTTCAGAGTGGGACAGAATGAAAAGGCAGAAGATCACTGTTGCTGTCAATTCCTGATACAAAAGGCACATCCAAAGTCAGAACAAGAAAACTCTAGAAAGGTGTTGAGATTTATTGAAGAGCTGGTGTCCCTTGTTCGCCACATCACCCAAAGTGATTGTGAACAGACTGCTAGGCCACACGTCTTGGTGCTTATGAGTGTGTGTGAGAGAGAGTGAAAGCTACCATTTCACTCAATCTTACTTCAAACAAAATGAAGAAAACCTTTCTCTTCTATACAAACACTGAGCTTTGCTGTCAGTTGCTGCCTATCTGTAGATTTTAGTTTTAACCTTCTGTGTGGTCTGTATGTATGTAGGTCACTTATACCACTGAAAGTAGCAGGGCTTGCCCAAACATACGGCCTCGTTTGCACTGAGAGGTGTAAGCAATTCCGGTATCCCTCTAACGACACACGTCTCCAGGAGCAGCAGTGGGAGCACTGCTGTAGATGAACTGTGACGCTTTCAGTGACGTTAGTGGAATAAAATAATCTTTGTATTTATACAGCTGGATCGTGAGCTGTGTCAAGACTATGGGTCTTCTGGTAAAACTATTCTACAGCTTTGCCTACACGGTCATCGCTTCTCTGTGTATTTCATGTATGTCTATTGTCCTCTTCTGATTTGTCCTTAAGTAGCTCCTGATCCACAAGCGCTTGCTTGAGCGTATTCAGATGCCACTTGGTATAGCTGTCTGCAGACTAGAAGATGAGTCTGTCCTTCTCAATTCTGATTGTATTACTTGGTAGACATTTAACATTTTGGTTGCATTTCTTTGTGTTTACTGCTGTGGAGTAGGTGATACTGAACTCTATACACTACAAAACCAAATTATTGTCCAGCTTGTTTGTGCACAGTGCTAACTCAAACGGAGGAGTCCTACCAGTAGTAGCACGGAGCTATGTACAAGTCAATGTAGCATGGAGAAGTGCAGTAAAGGAGCTAGTGAACATGGGACTCTGCTGCCATAGCAGTCCTGAGGAAGTTCATGTATCATGCCCTTCCACTGCAAAGCTGGTCTGGATACTAAACACTGAAATTACTAGGCTTATTAATTAATTTTTAAATGCCTTGCAGTGCTTCTGGGTAAGACCAAAAAAGGGAGGCACTGAAATAATTGTCTGTTTTACAAGGCTGCAAAATGCCGTAAGTGGGTTTAGAAGAAAAGGGCCAGCTGATCTCGTTTTCATTTGTGTTCTTTAATCCTAAGCAAAGCCTCCGCACTTCTGTGTCCTCTGGTGAGGATGTTTGCATGCCTGCAGTGTTTTAGATGCTGTAGTGCAAGATGCTTAATACTCTAAACATTCCAAACCAAAACAAAGCCTTTAATCTCTTAATAGTTGATACAAGAAACTCTGGGGAGAGATGATGTCTCCTCCTTCCCCGTTTTTTGTTATATTTTTATATTTTGATTACTTGTCAACAATCTTTCAAGTAATCTTAAATTTTTGGATGCTGAACTGTTGATATGGTTTAAAAGAAATTCTTATTTAGTTAAAGGTTGTGTATGTTTTTCTTTCACTTGAATCTTCAAGGTCATGCTGCAGAATAATCTGGTTTAAACACTATCACATCATCAGTGCTGTATGAAACAAAGGTAGAGTGAGGAATTACTTTGTGTTAAGAAACTGGAAGCTCTAACTACTTCTTACAAGCCCTTGAGGCATAGTTTCAATGGAGACTAATTAGCTCTTTTCCTGTAAGAAAGTAAAAAGGACTTAAAATTGGAATGTGTTCAGTGTGCCTCAGCCTGTTAAAATGTTACTTGTTTGGTAAGGAAAGATGCTGTTTTAACTTGCAGACTAAAGTGTTCCTGTGACATTATCCATATTTTAATAAGCTTCAGATCTAAGTGTTAATCTGTCAGACTTTCATTTGGTAGTTACTTGAAAATTTTAATCTGGCTTTTGAACTAAAGCTGATGTTGTTTTCCAGAGGCCTCAGTGTTGTCCCAGATGAAGAAGTCATTGCAATGTATGATGGTTCCCATGTCCCTTTAGAACAAATGAGTGACTTCTATGGAAAGGTAAAACCATAAAACCACAAACTGCTCTTTAAAAATGATTTTATTTTTTAATTTTTTTTTTTGGAAGGAGATAGTGGTGTTTGCATTTTATTCTTGTTCCTAATAGCAGTTATATTTTTCTCAATATATGATTGACTTACAGTGCTAGATGTGAGGTTTGCCCTCCGAAGCGGCAAATATCTTTTCATTCTCCTGCTCGCTGTAGTTTCTTCTTTCACTGTTTCCTTGCCCAGTCGGACATACAGAGAAGGGGAACATAGAAAAATCAGGTGACTTGCTCAGTGTTGCACAGCAAATCTGATAAAGGCTGTGAAATGAACCATATCTGGTGCCTTACCCCAGCTATGCACTCCTTCGTGGTGGTCTGACGGCTTAGCTGATGGAGCAGCAAGTGAACGTACGGAGGCATCTCTCGCATACAAGCTGGCAGAGTGACAGTAAATGAATGATAAAAGATAAAGCTTTTAAGTTTAGAATTTGACTTTGTGGGGAAAGTTGATCTTGCTGGTAGGTTCCGTCCTCCTTCCCGAACAAAGAACAGTGCTGTCTTTTTGGTAAAAAACAAGTGCATTTTACTCCTTTTAATTATGGATGTTAATATCATGTTGATGTGAAAGGCCCTTCTTTGTGCTGTGGAACATTTTGTTGTTCTCGCACTTGTTCTTATTTTAAGGAGCTGAACTTAGAACTCCCAAATCTGGTTTCTGCAGCAGTTCTGAATATCGCCCTGGCATTCCCTGTGGGATGCCTTGGTCTCTGCAGCTCTATGCTTTCTTTTATCTTGGAAAGGATAGTGACAGGAGAAGAGGCTGTGGGCACAAACTGAAACACAGGAGATTTCCTCTGAAAATCAGGAAATGCTTCCTTTACTGTGAGGGTGACCAAGCACTGGCACTCTTCTTGAAGTACTTGGTTTGTGTTTGCTCCTGTATAATAAAATTCTCTACTTTTGTGAAACTTAAATATACTTACAGCTTTTGCAGACTACACATCTTTCCTCTGTTGCTGCTTTAGCTATTGAAGATTCTTACAACTTTTTATTCTCTCTTTTCAAGGAGGTAAATTGTTTTGCAGTCCTAATCAGTTTTCCACTTATTAAAAAAAACCCAAACTGAACCAAACCCAACAAAACAAATAACAAAACCTCTACCCTCCATCGCAATACCCAGTGACTCTTATTTATAGAAGTGCAGACTTCCAGTGAAGGTCTCTAAGTTCTTCTCTTGACTTTTAGCTGAGCACTGTCTTTTATGTGTTTATAAACTGAAATACTGCTCTTAAGAGTAATGAGTCATGATTAATTCTTAAAATAAAGCCAACACTTTTTTTGGAGTTACGGTATTGAAAGTCTGTTAGTTCAAAAAGAATCTAAAGCAATGTGAGCAGCGATGGCAAAAGCTGAATATCTGCAACTAAGCTGAAGTATTTACACTGAATGAATGACAGTGTTCTAATCTGAGAAATGCCTGACCTTTTTTTTTTCTTTCTTTCTTTTTTCTTCCCACCCCTGTAGAGCTCACAAGGAAACACAATGAAACAATTCATGGATATATTTTCCTTGCCAGAAATGACACTCCTTTCTTGTGTGAATGAATATTTTCTGAAAAACAACATAGACTATGAGCCTGTTCATCTGTACAAAGATGTCAAGGTACTTGCTTTGAAGATTTAGGTAAACCTCTACATTTGTGCGTCTTCTCTCTGAGCACTTCAGGAAGCTTCAACCTGTTGTTTCAGCTCCAGTGAAATGTCTCAACTTTAGAATTTTTTATAGAGTAATTATTTCTATACAACCATAAAAACATACTTGGAAAAGAAGTACAGAATAATTTGGTATTTGTTTTAAATGTGACATTCTAGGGCTATTGCTCTTTTTGTGGGTTTGAGGGGTGAATAGGAGGAAAGTGAAGAAGCTCTTGTATATTGATAAAGCTTCTTTTGATTATTATTAAACATACACTTTTCTCACTAGCAGAAATTTTAAGAGGCTATAGGGAATTCCAGTTTGGAGCTTTCAGTTGTACTGCCTCTGTATCTTTGCTTATGTATGATCATTTGCTGGCTCTTGCTTTTGGCATATCTGTTTTGCCTATTTTCCTCTCTTCATCCTCCAAAAAAATCTAGTAATAATGACTAGAGTAATTTGACTCTCTCGATTCCTCAGGATGTATTCTGCAGAGAAGATAATTTTGTGTCATGGTTATTTAAGAACAGAAGAGGTCATGGCCAAGCTGATGGTATTTTTCTGCACAGACTTTCCACCCAAAACCTTTTTCTGGCTCCTTGTTGACATGTATCAAACTTGTGTAGTTTTTCAATGCATGTGATGTATCAGAATGTTGAATTTCCCACTTTCTCAAGTAGATCAGATAGGTTTTAAGAAACTTCTGACCTCCAGAGTGGTTTTTCCTTATGCCTATGGTTACACAGAGTCAGAAGGCTAGTTCTTGTGATTTCTGCTGAAGTGTTTGTAGAAACTTCCATACTGCTTAGCATTACCAACATTTTTGGAAGCCGTATAGCGGTGTTTTTTGAGGATTTTTAGGACATACCCCATGTAAGTACCAAAATGGCAGTACCGCTGTCCTAAACAAAGCTTTCTGGTGCAGAGCTGGCTCAGGAGAGCTGCCAAATGCCTTCAGTGTCTTATGAGGACTTTGCTTAAACATTTAGCTTCTTTCATGTGTTCATAAATTTATTTTTTAAATAACCAGGGCATTTGTGAGTGATCGTAATCTAAAATCTGTCTGACTTAAAGCTTTTGGGTTTTTTTTGCAAGGGGAAAGGAATGTGTTCTGCTCCAAAGGTCATTGGAAATCTGCGATGACTCTGCTTCTGCAGAGGGCTTTCACCCCACTTCACCTTTCTGAGCACCCTCTCACAGTTGTTACGTAAAAACAGGCCCTGTGCTACACAGTTTTGTACTTTCCAAAAGTTTGAAGTATGTTTTACTCTTTATCTAGTGGTGACACATGTACCATAAACATCACATGGCATTTCTGTAAAGCTGAAAGCGTAGTTCAGAGAAAGGAATTGTTTTAAAAACAAATTACTACTGCTATGCAGTGAGCATGGTTTTTATACTTGAAAAGATCTTTCAGTTCTTTAGTGCTCTCTTGCTTTCCTGACAGGATTCGATCAGGGACGTCCACATCAAAGGAATAATGTACAGAGCAATTGAAGCAGATATCGGTAAGTACTAATGAGGTCACCTATCAAAGCTTTTTTCACTCATAGTATAATGATCTTTCTGGCTTCCTTATTTAAGATTACATATTCTAAATTTTAAAGCTTGAAAGAGGTATTTCCACTTACCTAAGGTGCTTTTGTTAATATAACCTCATGTTCTGAACTCTTGGTTGAATGCAGAGAAAATGCTTGTGAAAAACATTTTTAATTAATATTTTCCTCAATCCTCATAGAGAAATACATCTGCTATGCCGAACAAACTCGTGCCGTGTTAGCAAAGCTGGCTGATCATGGCAAGAAGATGTTTCTCATCACAAACAGTCCCAGTAGCTTTGTGTAAGTGAACAACTGTTTGCTGTTCAACCATATGTCTTTAAAGGATGGGGAGGATGGGGTTCTTGAATGTGGTTCATTATATTGCACAGATAACTGCATTTCTGTTATGCTCCACTGTTAATATCCCCTCTGTCGTTTTTAGGGACAAAGGCATGAAGTTCATAGTCGGCAAGGACTGGAGGGATCTCTTTGATGTGGTCATTGTACAGGCTGAAAAGCCAAATTTTTTCAATGATAAGCGAAGGTGGGTATTTAGTCAGTAAAAAATGATTCAAGCAGCTTATTCCATATAAGGCTATAGAATGTGTTATGAAGTGTTTTAATTTGGATGGTGGGATTTTTTTTCACTTTACTTTTTTTCATTTAATTTTAAGAAGAACTTTGCTATACGTCTTGCCCCTGGTCCTCTGCCCCCTTCATCTTGAGTTGTTCAGTTGTACAAAATGAGGTACTGACAAGATTGTTACACCTGTTCACTTCTTTTGTGTTCTCATCTCTCCTCTTTAATGGCAGACAATTCATGCTGTTTCTTCCCCTCCGTTGGGGATCCCTGCCTTAGTTCTTAACAGTTGTTCTCAAATTCCGTTACCAACATCATAGATATACTGGATAGATACATTGCATTTCGCTGGCTGAGGCTGAAGTTTTGGAGCTTTGTTTTTTCTATCTGTTACAAAATGTTTAGATACTAGAGAGCATGTTTTCCTTTTGAAAGACAAATATTTTTCATATTAAAATTTTGATCTCCTCCTAAAAAGTGACAAAATTTCTCCAGCAATGTAACAATTATATATAATTCTATTTTAGACCGTTTCGGAAGGTGAATGAACGAGGAGTGTTGCTTTGGGACAAAATTCACAAGCTGCAGAAAGGTCAGATTTACAAACAGGTATGCTTTCAATAAACTCTTTCAGTTCTTTGAACTGAAATACCTATTTCCTAGAATCCAAAGCTTCCAAAGAGTAGATACATTTTTTTTTTTTTTTAAGGCAGTTATTTTAATGATCGAAGTGGTACAAATTAATTGTTGGTGTTGTATGTCTGCAGTTTACTTGCCTCTTGAAGTGATAGTATTTCTGAAATTGCCTGTAAGATTTGGTATTCATAATATGTGAACTGAGAACAAGATTCTTGATATGAAAATATTTTTAGGGATGTGCTAAATTCCTTTTTCATGCCTGTGAAGGTGCAAGTTGCATGCAGCTACAAGGTACCTGTTGTTGTTTCCGCAGGGTAACTTGTATGAATTTCTGAAGCTAACTGGCTGGAGGGGCTCTAAGGTTCTCTACTTTGGTGATCACATTTACAGTGACTTGGCAGTAAGTAGTTTGCTTTCACAAAACAGAATAAAAGATGAGGCTTTTTGTTAGTTTTCTGCTTTTTCTCCCCAGTTATTCAATATAACAGACATTCATTTGAGATTTCTATATACAACAAAATTTGAGTTGGTAGTTAAGCCATACTGCTTTTCTTGCAGTAAAGAAAATTGGTGCCTTAAAAGGCCAACCATATTTTTTATCTCACTTTTTGCATTTAACTTGTTTACAAACTGCGCTCAGGAATGTGTGAGTTTGTATTCCTGATCCAGATGCTGATTGTGTCAAGTAAACACAGACAACCAAACGTTCAGGATGTGGCTGATTTGGATGACCTTTTCTACCAAGTGTAATAAGAGCTGAATGAACTTTTGTTTTGAATGCAGGAGGCAATCTTCCTGTCACTAATGGTAAACTTACTTTCTTCCCGAGATCTTACTTCGTTTGTAGCCCCACTATTCAGACGTTTTCTTACTACCTTACTAACAGACGTACTGTTAACTGTTAGAGTAAGTGACCACCACGTAACTCTTTTGTAATTGATCGTGTGTGAGTGCCTGGGTATGACTTTCCACTGCCAAGCTGTGGTAAGATGTTTCAGCAGCAGCAAGTATTAACATTTTTGCCCCAATTTGCTTTTAAAAAGAAAAGTGAGTTTGGGTGCTTCAGAAGGCTGAGTGACAAAGGAAGGAAGACGCAGCTGTTCTTTTCTGGCACAATGGAAGAGGGAGCACAGGTGGCAGCTGTGTGTCCTGTACTTGTCAGGAGGGCCTTGGATAGCAGGGGGTACCAATAGGACCCTTCTGTGAGCTGAATGTACGAGTAAATAACACAAACTCAAAATATGGTTTCCTCCAGATCCTTCTGACAACAGCAGAGGTCTCATCTACAAGAGGAATTTCCTACTGTTTGTTTTAAATCTAATGAATTAGTGCTTATTTGTAGGTGCTTGTGTGTCCTTTATTTCTCTCTCTCTTTAAAAATGTGGCATTTGATGCTTACTCTGAAATTAAATTCTGTTGCCTATTGGCAGAGTTAAGTCCCGCCGTTTAATATTTCTGCTTATACATAAGAAGCAATTAAATTAGTGCCCCTTTGGGATAAACAATGGTCAAATTCTTCAGTTCTTTTAAGCAGTTCTTTTTAAGACTAATACTTGTAATTCTTGGTAAATAGGATTTGACCCTGAAGCATGGCTGGCGCACTGGTGCTATTATTCCAGAGTTACGATCGGAGATTAAAATCATGAACACAGAGAAGTACATTCAAACCATGACCTGGCTGCAAACCTTGACAGGATTACTGGAACACATGCAGGTTTGTTCTGTGTGTGTGTAATCGGCTTCGTACAGCAGAAGGGATCCAGACAGGTTTCTGAATGCTGGACATGGACGTTGCAAGTGCTTTCTGTCTCATTAAAGTTCATAATTTTGACTGTAGATAAATAAATGCAATTGTTTGTGTGGCTAGTTAATAAGGGTTTTCTCAAAATCTTGTCCCCATCCTCCACTGGTCAGCCTGGAGTGATTCCTGCTTTCGGTTGTTTAAAATGCATGTGGATAACTTCTGTACACTGATCTGTGAAGCATTGATCTTGTCCTGTTAGCTGTTTATTAGTGGAAAGGCTCATTTACGAGGGCATCCTTAGTTATCTGTTGTCCATACATTACATTCCAGGTTCACCGTGATCCTGATTCACAAATGATTTTGGAAGAATGGAAGAAGGAAAGAAAGGAAATGAGGTATGACATGGGAGATGAAGAATTTGCAATGTGTTTCATGGTAGCTGAGTGTTCTATGTGATGTCTTCCACAGGTTTCTTCAGAATTTCTCTCCATCCCTGATTTATATTCCCTGGTAGTTATAGACCTTCTAAAGTTATCTGTGTAAAGTAATATTCTACCTGTCTCTTGTGCAGCTCTTCTCCCCTCTGACCCTTTGTGCATAGGAACCCCTTTTCCCTGTTCCCCTTCTTTGGAATAGATGTTAGTTTTCTGTATGAAAGGGTGACATCATGTAAAATACTCATCCTTTTCATCTCAGTTCTTATGTCTCTCTGTGTTCAGCTGTTGCTATTGATTACACAGCTTTACTTCTGAATGATTTAAAAATTTCTTTCTGTATCAAGGTCACCTCTTCAGTTTTTTTAGATGATTTCTTAAGATTACATACAATACATTTTAGAATATGCAGAAACTGGGCTCTGGTTCCATAGACTGGATTTAGCAGTGAACTCGTCACAAAAATAGGTAATAGAGCTAAAACTCTACTATTGTGAAAGAGCCGTCCCTAAACGCAGAGTGTATGAAATGCACAGTTGGCAAGGCCAGCAGCTGTACCACCAGCAGCCTTCCCTAGAAACATGGAAGTAAAGAAAATGGGGATGGTACTTGGCAGTGACTAATAACAGAAGTTAATTCCAGGATGTCTTTAAGCTTTTTGTGTACATTAAGCTAAATGTTTGTGTGTGGTTTGTTTTGGTTTTTTTTTATTTAAAGTCTTTTATCTTTGGGACAAGTGGATGTCATCAGGATTTAGATGAAGGCAAAAGTTGTCTTTTATAATCTCTAGAAAGCAAAGCTTGAAATGTCATGTTTCTGAAGTCAGAAGCAACTTATCACTGGTTTTAGTGGGAGAAGTGTGAACCTCTTCACTCCTGTGGTTGCTAGATCTGGGCTACATATGTGCAAAAATTTCTCATGTGATGTATTTAAGTCTTTTGAAGCACAATGGTAGGAGAATAATGCATAGAACACATTATAGGAACTGCTTGCTTCAGGTTCTGGATGTAGCTGGTAGAGAGATGTGTGCAGGTATGTTCATTCTCTTTGTTTTCTTTTTTTGGGGGACAGGGAGATGAACAGGAATTTCTTCAACGCACAGTTTGGAAGCATATTCAGAACTGATGAGAATCCAACTTACTTCCTCAGACGTCTCTCTAGATTTGCGGATATCTACATGGCATCATTGAGTTGTCTCTTGAACTATGAGCCTGATTACACGTTTTATCCGAGACGGACTCCTTTGCAGCATGAACTTCCTGGCTGGTCAGACCAGCTGTGCACTGGTACATTCAGAATACCTTTCCTACAAGAGACAGTTCAGATCAAGTAAACACTTGGCAGCTTCTCTCTAAAATGAGCAAATATATCTTTTTTTTTTTTTTTTTATGTACATGTATTTTATTTAAGTCACTTAAATCTGTTATCTTGATTTAGATGTAATTCATACTTATTCTCATAAGCATTGTACCTATTTTCTCGTCTCCTGCCCGGAGACGTGGAAAGTCCTTTTACACACAGAAGAGATGATGGATTTCCAAAATAGTAGTGGGCTGGGAGGGAGGGCATGTTTGAGAGGAAGGACTGGTGGTGTTCTGGGGTGGTTGTTATTGCTTGCTTATTGGAAATTTCGATCTGCAGCCTTGTGGTTTACAAAGAAGTACCTGTACTCTGTGTTCTGGCTCTGTTCAGCACTCCAGCTGGAGCCTGTGATGGATCTTGTCACTAAAAAGCTTAAATTCAGTATTAGTTCAGTGATAGACAGTTAGTAGCCAGTTCACGGTGCGACCGAGAGAGATGATGTAGGCGTTGTAGCTTTCCTTGCTGCCGTGGCCAGAGCCTTGCTCTGACGGAGCGAACCGCTGCAGTGTTGGTGTGGCCGAAGCAGCAGTTGCGGTACTGGTGGGCTCAGGCCGATGGGCTTTTCCTCCTGTCTGCGCAGTTTCTGTTCTTGCAACGTCGGTGCCTGGCTGTAGGTGGACCTGAGCCTGAAACTGAAAGTGACAGTAACTTGGTCTGCTTCAGCTTCCTCTTTGTTAACTTTTAGGCACCTTTCTTTTTAAGTTTCAAAACACTTTAACTATCCACTCTTTAATAATAAAGCCATTTCAAGAGGTCTTGCATTTTGCATTTCAAAGTGGAGACAGATCTCTGCCAGGCTTTAGATTGATCCTAAATGCTGCTTTTTAAAATTTTAAGTGTCTTACAGTGACATGCAATGTGGTTTTGCCGTTCCCTAGGAGAGAATGTATTTCGTATAGCCTTCAGTAATGGACTCTTACAGTCAAACGTAAACACGCACAATGGGCAAGTGAGTTAAAAGAAAAATTAGGAAATGAGAAAACAAAACCCAGAGTTTTCTGATTACTTTTTTTAGCTCAAGCCCTAAAAGCTGAATTTGGGGTGGTGGACAGTTTGCATCAAGCAAAATAATTTTGATCGTGCAGGTTAGAAGTTTAATTGGATTACTGAAATTGCCAGTAATACATGAACACAAACTCTGGGTAGCATATATGTTCCAAAGATTTGAGCTGAAAAATGTCTATTTTGCACAAGGAGAACATCTGTTGATGTGTTTCCTCAAACAGGCACTTTATAGAACTACTAGATAGTTGTTTTTAAATAAGGATGCTTTCCTTTCTCTGCATCCAAATGAAACTTTTGTTTTGAACTGGTGCTTCCCACCCCCAGCCATTTTAGAAGGCATAATATGATTAATATTTTTCAAATTTTAGTTATTAAAGGCTCCATTTTTAAAAGCATATAATAAACACAATATATAGGATTTGATATTCTTCACTTCATTTTGGGATATCACTTGCTCCCTACCATGATTGTCAGGTAAACAAACTTTTGGTGACCAAAAGTTTTCTTGTTTTTGTTATTGCTTGGGGTGTTTTGTTTTGTTTCTTTTTTGTTGTTGTTTTTAAACCTGTCTGCGTTAGTACCTAGACTGAATTTCAGATGCAGTATCTATGATATTTTTAAAAGCATCTTTGTGAAGTAAAGAATGTATCCTAATCTAGCCCGCACAATTTCCTGAGTAGTTTTCCTGTATGCTTGAAATCAGTCTGAAGTCCTCAGAGGTGGTTAGAGATTTTAAGCTCATGGTTTTCTTGTGCTTGGGTTTCAAACTTGACGTACAACACTTCTGAAGTGTGTGTATTTAGATAGATGGATATACTTGAAATGAGTAAGTTCATCAGACAGTTTAGCTGGAAGAAAAAGATAAAGTTTTGCAGGAAGTTAGTTTGGCTTTATCAGGAGACTTGGTGAGGCTGTGCGAGAACTGTTCAGCATAACTTAATGAAATATGAGGATGGAAATATCCCCGATTTGCCTTCAGTTCTTTATCCTAATGCTCGGCTAGAACCGAACTTGGTGTTACATGTGTGTAGCACCTCTCATGCTCCAGAGATTTCAATGCGCTGTTTAAAAACAAAACAACACAACCCAACCCCGAACCACTGTACTTTCTCCATCTTACTCCCAGCAAATAACAATACTGTGTTATTCGGTTCTGCGTTATTGAATTTGTTAATGTTTTGTTGGTTATAACTCTGATGCTTCTTCTTTTAAAGCTGGCTAGGAGTCAGTTTGTTTGCCGAATTTTCCTGAGTTAAGCAGGAACAGTTTACTTGGGTTGGATGATGTTGTCCACAGAATACATATTTTGTTTCAAGATTATTTTCTCCTCTCCTCCTTCCTTTCTTTTAACTTACTAATCAGCTTCTGTACAAAGCTATGTTACAACAGCCAGCTGAAGTAGAATCTTGTTTATATTGCATGACTTCTTGAAATAAACAACATTGCATGAAAAGAAAATTATAGGAGGGTTATGTTCCTTTAATATGACCCAACTATATCTAATATGAATTTAAGTGAGAATTTTTAAATGTATTATTTATTTTTCAGTGCTAGAATGCTCTTCTTTAACTTTTAAAAATGTCTTACGTTTTTGTAATGATTTCACCTTGGCGCTCTCTGCATTACTTATTTTAACCTTGTTATGTTACTGACTTCAAAGATGTTTTTGGGCATGTTTAAAGGGCAGTGTCTCTTTATATTCATTTTGGGAGTATAGTTCATTTGAACACCAAAGCAAGAAGAAATTTTCATTCTGTTCTGTCAAAAACTTGGAAGAGAATAGTCTGTTACTAAAAGAAGAGTTTAATGAACGGTGGAACTTTTTGTGATAAAAATATATAATGATTATTAAAAAATAAATGCTTGGACTTTATCTCTGGTCCCTATGAGCTTTAATATTTTGGTTTACTGGGGAGAAGGAAAGAACGTGAGTTGTATTCATTGCAGAGCTCTCTGGGGAAAACTCCCCTAAATGTGTATGTGCGTGCGTTCAAGTGTGTGTGTGCTAAATTTTTTATTATCTTGCAGGTAAAAACAAGCAGGCATGTCCAGGGGGGCAAGGGAAGGAGTTGAGGAAATCACTTCAGTCTGGCTCTTTCATCCAGGCATATTTACACGTTAGATCCCCTTGGTTGTGCATGATTGCTGCGTTCAATGACCCTGGATTTGCCTGCATACCTTGTTGTGGTGGGAGGCATCCTGGGGTTGCTCTCAGCGATAACTAACGCTTTCCTGCAGGGACACCTTCCCTCCTGTCCCCCCACACGTGGTAGACACCAGGAAGCATATTGTAGGGGAGCATTACTGCTGCCAGCAAGAAAATCTTGCTTTTCCTGCTGTTTTGTGGTTTCTATAGTGTTCTCACAGTTTGCTATGATAATAATGTTTTGAGGGAAGGAAACAAAAGTGGATCAAACTTGAGTTTATGGTATGGTGAAAATCGCAGTTGTTATTGGTGTGCATCGGTTGAAAGGCAATGTTAACGTGCTTGGTAAAGAATATGATATGCGAACAAGTGGGTAGCTTCTGCTCCTTTCAGACCTAAAAAACTGAACGTGGACATGACATGGCAAGGGTACGTTCATTTTCATTGTCTGTTTTTCACAAAAATGGCTGAAGTATGGGGATGGACGAGGAGCTGACCAATAGCTTATGGTTCAGGATTGAACGGAGGATAGGGACAGGTGACATAGTGGGGGCCTGTTACAGGCCACCAGACTAGGAAGACCAAGCAGATGAGGCCCTCTATAGACAGGTAGGGGCAGCCTCACATTCGTGAGCCTTGGTCCTTATGGGGGACTTCAGCCACCCCGATATCTGTTGGAGGGACAACACAGCATAGAAGCCCATTGTAGGAGATCAGATTCAAGACCATCTAAGGAACCTGGAAGTGCACAAGTCCATGGGACCTGATGAGATGCATCCTGAGGGAACTGGCAGATGAAGTCGTGGCAGTCTGGTGAAGTTCCTACCGACTGGAAAAAGGGAAACATAACCCCCATTTTTAAAAAGGGAAAAAAGGAAGACCCAGGAAACTACAGGCCAGTCAGTCTCACCTCTGTGCCTGGCAAGATGGTGGAGGAGATGCTGATGGAAACTGTGCTAAGGCACATGGAAAATAAAAGAGATGATTGGTGATAGCCAACATGGCTTCACTAAGGGCAAATCACGTCTGACCAATTTGATGGCCTTCTACGACGGGGTTACAGTGTTGGTGGATAAGGGAAGGGCAACTGACATCATCTACCTGGGCTTGTGCAGAGCATTTGACACTGTGCCACGTGACATCCTTGTCTTTAAATTGTGGAGACATGAATTTGACGGATGGACCACTCAGTGGATATGGAATTGGTTGGATGGTCACACTCAAAGAGTTGCAGTCAACAGCTCGATGTCCAAGTGGAGGCCAGTGATGAGTGGTGTTCCTCAGGGGTTGGTATTTGGGCTAGTGCTGTTTAACATCTTTGTCAGCAACATGGACAGTGGGATCAAGTGCACCCTCAGCAAGTTTGCTGATGACACCAAGCTGTATGGTGTGGTGGACACACTGGAGGGAAGGGATGCCATCCAGAGAGATCTCGACAGGCTTGAGAAGTGAGCCTGTGAGAACCTCATGAAGTTTAGCAAGGCCAAGTGCAAAGTCTTGCACATGGGTCGGAGCAATCCCAAGCACAAGTACAGACTGGGCAAGAGAATGGTTTGAGAGTAGCCTGGAGGAGAAGGACTTGGAGATGTTGGTCGATGAGAAACTCAACGTGAGACAGCGGTGTGCACTTGCAGCCTGGAAAGCCAACTGTATCCTGGTCTGCATCCAAAGAAGCGTGGCGAGCAGGTCAAGAGAGGTGAGACCCCACCTGGCATACTGTGTTCAGCTCTGGGGCCCCCAACAAAAGAAGGACATAGACCTGTTGGAGCGGGTCCAGAGGAGGGCCGTGAAGATCATCAGAGGGCTGGACCACCTGTCCT